CTAACAATCGACACACGCACAACACTCGCGGAGCAGAACACTTCACTCTTCCTCGCATCAGAACTGAGTCTGGCAGACGTAGACTCTGCTACCGCGGTGTGATGTGGCTGAACAAGTCGCGCATACCTGTCGGTGACAGGCATTTTCGTCGGAAACTTAACCCTATTCCTGGTGGGCTCCGCCGGGACAAGAAACTGGCGGGGGGGGGGGCCGATTCGCCCCCCCCCTTCAGATCTCAAAAACTACACATCGCAGCGACAAACGGTAAACGGCATCGGATACGCACGGTCAAGATCTACAATTTTTACTAAGGTCATTTTCAGGTCAGGTCAAAGATGACGTCACAGGGGTCGAAAAAGCCAAAATGGCGGCGCTAGATATGGAGAGAGTTTTTCTCGAATAACTTTCGAATTAGTCAAGATAGGAACAAACTAAGGGCATCATCGTGATCCTCTCGTCAATCCGCATCGAATGATATATATGTTGACCTCGAAAGGTCAAGGTCAAAGGTTGACCTCAGGTCACGTGACCTCGAGGTCATCATGTATATCATTCGATGCGTCTTGACGAGCTGAACACAATGAGACCATCCACGCGTCTGTATCTTGTTCCTGTACGGAGTTATTGGCCAAAAACCTTTGGTGACCTTTGATGACGTCACATGACATCACAGCTGCCCAACAGCAAAACAGACCTCAAGGTAGTGAAGGTTGATCGTATATGAAGTCATGTATGGTAGGGGAGAGTGGGGTAATTTGGCCGCTTTTTTTAGAAAACGATGTAACTAAAAATCGACAACACATTTCTGCATTTTCTCAACGCTGACAGGTGTGGCATACATTTAACTTTCCTGGACAGTAAACTTGAAATGATAGGGTAACTACTTCTATTGAAATTGTGACGTAATACAAAGGTCTGCAAAGCGGCCAAATTGCCCCACTAGCAAGGTTATTTGGCCGGGGGTGTGGGGTAGAGTTGCAAAATTTCCCTACCGCACTACCGGCATGCCGGTAATTTTTCACTACCGCAGGTTTTTTCGTGGTATCTGGCATGTCTTGCCGGTAGCATGCCGGTATTTTTGATTTTGCAAAAAAATTATCAGCATATGATTCAAACTTTGCACACTAAGAGGCTATTGAATTGTAATAAGTTGGACAATGGGTGGCTGTTGAGTGGGGCGGTTACTGAAATTGCCAAAATGTGGCATCTCATGAAGGGGTAAGCCAGAATCAAGAATGCAGGTTTTTTAGTATGCCGGTAATTTGGCGTTTTTTTTTTTTGCTTGGGGCGTGGTAGCATGCCGGTATCCCAGAAAATGTTTGTGGTGCCGGTAGCAGCCCATTGGGAAAACTTTGCCACTCTAGTGTGGGGCAATTTGGCCGGTGTTAGTTTGAGGCCATGATTTTTGTTATCGGCGAGTCAGCTTCACATTCAGCAATGACGCGTGTCCTACGACGCATTTGAAACATTTTGGAGGTTGACTCAGCCGTCACAGGGGTCGAAAATAGTCAAAATAGCGGCTCTAGGTGCGATGACAGTTTTTTACGAATAGCTTTTGAAGTAATCAAGCTAGGCCAAAACTAAAAGTACCATCGTAATTCTCCCGTCATTTCGCATCGAAACATGTATGTGTTGACCTCGAGAGGTCAAGGTCAAAGGTTGGCTTCAGGTCACGTTACCTCAGGTCGCTTGACCTCAAGGTTACGTGAGTTCAAGGTCATCATGTATATCATTCGATGCGCCTTGACGAGCTGAACACAATGAGACCATCTGCGCGGTTGTATCTTTTTTCTGTAAGTATTTATTAAAGGGACCCTCCCACCTTAACATTAGTTTTGAGTTGAGATAGCCAAGTTTGCGGCCAGGCTCAGAAACCACCATTTATCCTGGTCGCAACCCCCGCAGCTTTATGGTGTTCAAGAAATTTCTTCCCTTTACTTACAGGGTGGGACCAGCGTGGTCCCTATCTCTTAACCATTACGGGAATCTGATGACGTCATCAGGCTTTCGAACGTCCGTTAAATGTTTGACTAAAACGTTTTGTAGCACGCGGTGGGATATGCTGCTTTGCGCGCAACAAATGCCGCACTTTCAAATAAAGTCGCTAGGAACAGCGGAGTTCCCAAAAAGTAAACAAAAGTAAAAGTATAATATCTTGAAAACCGGTGAATATTTTTCGATGAAATTTGGTAGATATTCGTTTTTGCTCTTTCTGAACCGAGCGACATCACTTTCATGCCAATTCATTAACTTTTTTGAAGGTGGGAGGGTCCCTTTAACAAAAAAGCGTTAGGTAACCGTTGATGACGTCACATGCCCTTACAGCTGTCCAATAGGAAATATGGCATCAAGGTAGTCAAAGTTGGTCATGAATTATGTCCTTTATGGTATAATTGACCATGACAACTCGGCTGTCCCAGCATAGTGACTCTGAGCGCACCGGCCAAGTTGCCCCGCTGGTCCCGGCCAAATAACCCCACATTGCCATTCTGAAAGTTTTTGTCTATAAAGTCGTGATGGCTGTACAGAACTAGATGAAATTGCTCTTGGAACCGCTGAACACCCTCAAGAATGGCGCTATAATGTTGGAATTCGTTTACAGGCCAAATACTACATGTTATACAAATTTTTAAACGGAAGTAAAAGTTACCATTTTCTAACGAAATTCACGTTTTATTAATTTTGAATAAAACTAACAGGGGGAAAGTTTTGACATTTGTTCTCGAGTTAGTTCTGCCGATGACAAATGAATAGGGACTAAAGTTATTTCATTCACTTTTATCAGCTTTCGTACAGGTGGGGGCGGCCAATTTACACCACCGGCCAAATTACCCCACTCTCCCCTATATGGGGCCACTCCGACCCGTTTTAGTGGTAAAAACAGGGAGTTGATTTTTCCCCCATTGACTTATAATGGGGAGGTCGCGAAACTGACCTGACCTTAGGTCACCGATATCAAAATTCCGAGATATACAAATTGCACATACTGGTACCCTAACTAAAGCCTGAAGAGAAGAAATTGATCGGTCAAAAACTCTAGCTCTGGCGTGATTGCAAACTTTTCTGAGGTAGGGTCACCAAACCGCCTCTGGTGACCTGACCTGAGGTCAGATCAACTCAAAATTTTCAGACATGTTGCGTAGAAGCCTTTTAGGAAAAGTCAGAAAATTTGAGCTTCCAAGCTCAACGCGTTTGGGAAAAATAACCCAAAAAACCTCAGGGGGGGGGGCTCCTGAGGCCCCCTCCCCCGCCAGGAATAGGGTTAAGCGACACATATTGTCCAGGCGTTGAGTGAGTGTGCGTGTGTTGTATGCATTATGTATCACGTGCTGACTGAGATGTGGTGAGCGAATGTGCGTGAGTTGTATGCATGCATGATGAGCGTATGGACACGACACATACATTAGTCGATTTAATAGCCTACCCATGTATATACATGACGTGCAAATGAGAATAGCCACCTAGTATGTGGACATATTGCGAAATATATCTGAATCTGAATCTGAATCATCCCTTAATTTTTCATGGGTTGTTTTAACCCCCTCCCCCAGCCCTTCTACTTGGTCTTAACCCGCGCATAACTGGGGTATTTTCCATAACGCGAGTGACTGGGGGGCTCTCGCGAGCCCCCTCCTATCTCCGAAACCACTGGGCCGATCGTCAAAATTCAAACAGCGCCTGGTAGCCCTGGAAAATCTATTTTCGAAAAGTCGAGCAAAACCTATTTTCACTGACCTCGATATCACCGATGACGTCATAGGTCAGGTCAAAGTAAAAATTATCGACATTTTTGCTTGTTCACAATTTAGGCTCTGACCGCCGGCTGACAAGTCCCATCAGGCTCATTTTTGGTTTACGCACTCCTTGATATATACTTAAGATACCCTGAGGGTAAGGAACTTTAACTTCGAATTTTTTCAGGTCAAGGCCAGGTCATCCTAGGTCACAAAAATTGTATACCATGTATCGGTCACGTGACGCATGTTTTATGGTCCATTTTACTCGTAGATTTCGAAAACAATGTCGTCTGTGTCATTTGAGGTCATTTTCAGCTAAATTTACCGGAATTCAGGCCACTCAGGTGAGAAAAGGTCAAATTTTGATTTTTAAACAAAAATGTGCCTATCAGATGCAATTGGAGCTCAGGAACACGATGATGCCATTAATATTGTTGTACGATGTCAAAAACGTAGTGAAAAATTGATTTAAAAAATGAAAATTGAAAAAATATAATTGTAATTTTGTTGCTCTAATGCTTATAACCTGGCCATTTTTGAAGATATTGGGCTAGAACTTGCTAGAGTAGTTACTCGGTGTGTGTTGGTGTGTTCTATCACATATATTCCGTTTTTTTTTTGCGAAAAATCAAAAACTTTTTGAAAAAATGTAATTGTAAAAACATATATTTCAAAAGTTTTGAAATTTTGACAATTTGAAATAGGAGTTTGATAGCTACTTGTATTTGTAGTCCACTGATGCAAAGAAATTAAATCTAGCTTTAAAACTAAGCTTTTGAGAGCGTTTGCCGTAATTCAATACTTTGTATCAAAGTCGGCCGACATGACGTCACTCTGACGTCATGTTCGGCCAAACTATGGTAGCTAGAAAGTTGAAATTCAAACACTATGTGTCAAATTGATGCCACTGAGGGATTCGCAAGTTTCGTGTTGATCCGTCAAATGCTTTAGAAGATATTACCGAAAAGCGCGAGGGGCGCTGTAGAGCCCCCCCCCCCCCCAGTTATGCGTGGGTTAAAAACAATTCGGGGTTGTTCCCAAAGTAGCCGATAACCAATTTTGTCAAACCATAACAACAACTTCTCCGCACTAGGTGAGTATAAAAAGCTACAGCAAAACAATTTTTTTCCAGGCGTGGGCCAAAGTTAAGTTGCCTTTGGTGGCCAAAGCTGCACGAAACTACGGTGTGTTGTTGACTGGCAGTTTGTATAGTACGAGTGCTCAGTAGTCAGTAGTACCCACACTGATGTGTGCTGTTGGCAGGCTCTGACAGAGGACGGTCACCGGCTGGACGTGGTCACCCATAAGGAGGCGGCCATCGGGCGGCGGGTGGCAGCCGAACGGGCTGTGGTTCAGAGACAGCTAGTCTCCTCGTGCACCGTCAACCGCCGCCTACAGACCCAAATGGCCAATTTCCGGGTGCCGCCCACCATCGACTACATCCACACCAACGACCGCGTCTACAAACTGAAGCGCAAGGTGATCATCTGGCAGCGCAAGCTAGACATCGCAAAGATGACGCTGCTGAACCTGCGCGCAGTGCACGGCATCAGCGGCCAGCCGGCGGCGTCCGGGAGTTCCGCCGAGCGGTCGCAGGCCGGCGGCCGTGGCCCGACCCCGGCCCCGCTTCGGGTGCTCAGCTCACGCCTGGTGCCGGCCGCCGCTGGTACAGCCCGCTGAACTGTAGCTGGGACCAGGGAGACGGAAACCACTGGGCTCACCTCCTGCCAGTGAGCAGATGACCGTGCTGCAGGCCAGTCACTCCACGATTGGAGCCGCACTATTTCGCCAGCGCTCTTCAACTGTGAAATTGAGCTGCTGTCGAATGTGACCCCAGAAGTACAGGGTGTCCTGAAAGAAGTTTACCCAAACAATGTTTCTTAAGATTTGCAATTTTAACTCAGTTCGTTGGAAATTTATATGATACTCTACCAACGCAAGGAGAAGTAAGTGCACAAAGTTTCATGCGAATCGATTGTGTTTAGCAGAAATGGTGACACGTAAAAAAAAATCGTACACCTCTAGCGCCAGGGTGCATCCCGAAAAATTCCATCCGAATATTCTAATACAACTTCTACTTCACCATCTCATTTGCACACAGTTATTCCAAGACCATGAGAAGTAGGTACCTAAGTAACGAAATTTGGAGCGCTTTTGTTCGTTTTTCGTAATTGTAGGCGCTGCATCGTTTGACGAGCTGAACACAATGAGACCATCCGCGCGGCTGTATCTTGTTCCTGTACGGAGTTATTGGCGAAAAACCTTTGGTCACCTTTGATGACGTCACATGACCTTACAGCTGGGGCATTCCACGTCAAATCAAACACCGAAATCCGTCATCCCCTTCGATTTTTCTGAAAATTTGTAGGCAGACTGGGCATGGTTCAAAACTGAGTTACGTGTAATATTTTCGAAATTTGATAACGTATCGCCGAGATATAGGTCATCGAATATAGCTAAAAATGCTACACATCATTTTTTTAAATGCTTATAACTCTGGTTCCTTTTCTGATATCAAAATGATATTAACAGGGTCTTGTAGGCAATTGATAAGGCTTTGATTTTTAATTATAAAGTTAAATTGAAGTGACCTTGAAATGCATTTGACCTTGAATTAAAACAGAAAAATTTAAATAGCAAAAAACACGCCACCTTCGATTTGAGTAATTTTTACATATTATGTCCGTCACAATGTTCCTAACCATCTGTGAAAAAATTGGAGTGGGCCATTCATAACTTTCGCGGCAAACGCCGTTTTCATGCATCAACATCACGCAACCGCGCGTGACCTTGAAAGACAGAGTCAAGACATGCTTGCTTGTGTACACTTTCTGAAATGAATGATTGCTGATTAGTGATATCCCAAACTCTGCGAGAATGGAAATGCATAGTCATCGTAGTCAAGCATTCACGTTCCATTGTAAAAGTGTCTCAGGCAAACGGTATTTTGCGGTGAATTTTGAGCCGTGTGGAAATGCATCATGAAATAAATTCAACGAAAACATTATCACGCAACGATATCTTCACGTCTTTTGATCTTCACTATACGAAAGAACATACATTTTTGAGTATGTATGGAAAATTTCTAGTTAATCCGATAATAAATATGGCAGTTAGAGTCCTGCTAAGAGTAACATGTCGCCGGCTGAGGCGGGATCGGCCGACGCGGGAAACGCAGCAGTCACAATTTTGTGTTTACACGTTCATATTTCAATTGTTTACCAACCTATTTTCAGAATTCTTTCACCATAAGATTGCCTGTACATTTCTTAGTCTTCTCACAAAATTTGACGCGAATCGAACGTAATCAGCGGTAAGGAGCGCGATGTAAATACGGAACCGTTCCGTTCCGTCCCGGCACAGTCTACAATTCAGGCGGCGCGTAGCGGTCGGCGCCGGCTGCCGAGTCGCCGCGTCGCCGCGGCGACAGGATGTTCACTTTACACCGCTATTACTAGAACAGTTGTGAACCGATTTTCTTATTGCTTGCACGATGAGATGTGCAATTCAATTCTGGACAGGTAGCCATAAGTAATTTCGCATCAATATTATGAGATATTGGCGAAAAACAGGAGGGGTGGGGCGAAATTCACTCTTCCCCCTCCACTGCGCGTGCTAACATACGTTTGCATATGTGCGATTTTCTTCAAAACTTATGAATGGCCCACTCTAATTCTTTCACAGGTTGTTAAGAATATGGTAGGCAATAAAATATATGAAAATGAGCCAAATCGAAGGTGGCGTGTTTTTTGCTATTTCAATTTTTGTGCTTACGAACAGGGTTAAGCAAATTTCAAGGTCATATATTTAAGTCGATGCAATTCTAAACAAATGCTTAAGAAATTACCTAAACAGTAAGGTTTATTTCATTCAAATCAAACAAGTACAGCCAAAGTTATGGTCGTTCAAAAATATAAAGATGCAACATTTTGTAAAAATTTGATGCCCTATATTTAGAAGACCTGTGGTCAGAATGTGCAAAAAACATCAATGTAATGTCCGGGGCGACACAGGAACTCGCTCACAAATTTATAATGAAATCGCTGATGGTAAGGTGCAAAACAGCCGATTTTTGTTCGATTTGACGTGGAATGCCCCAGCTGCCAAACAGCAAAACAGACCTCAAGGTAGTGAAGGTTGATCGTATATGAAGTCATGATTTTAATGTTTATGGGGCCATTCCGACCCGAGGGGGGGGGGGTGTTGATGCAACCCCCCTAAGGTTTTTCGCAAATAACGTAAAAACGGCGGCGCGTAGCGCCGCCAAATTTGGCATACCCTCTGGGGCAATTTTTTCGCACTGTTTCTGAAAATTTGAAGTCCCAGTCTTTTCAGGTCAGGTCACCAGGTCACAAAAACCGGTACAAGGTCAGGGGAAAATTGGACTAACTTAGCGGCAACTGAATTCCAGAGTTCACTTAAATTGGTAACAAAGTATATCATTCGATGCGCACGGACGTCCTGAGTTCACTGGTGCTTTTATTTTTGCTCTATCTTTACTAGGTAAAAAGTTATAAGTGAAAAAAGTTTAACATGTTTTAGCAAAAGTTTTGCACTCATACCCCCCAAAACCCCCCTAAATATTGACTTAGAGTCACCAAACTTTCAGTTCAGAGGGACGAGATCTCCCATGGACCCACCTACCCTGTAAATTTGGCGTTTGTAAGTGCCATAGGAGCCAATCATAGGAGCCAAGGGGAGTCGTACCACCCACCCACCCCCCCTCCCCCTTCGCCGTACGTGTTATGGAAAAGGCCCTCGCTTTACTTATAATGGGGAAGTCGAGAAATTGACCTGACCTTAGGTCATCGATATCAAAATTCCGAGATATACAAATTGTAGCTACTAATGACCTTATAACATCCTGCGACTTTCAAAGGCCTCCGACATCTACTGTAGCTCTGGCACGGTGACAAAGTTGCAAAAAGTGACTTGAGGTTGGGTCATTCAAAGTCACCTGGTGACCTGACCTTAAAAGGTAGGAGGTTCAAACTTGCACACCATGTGTAAAATTGATGAGAGAATAGTCGTACCAAATTGGTTTTCCCGCTGTCCACGAAAAACCTCAAGGGGGGATATCCGCTCCCCCCGTCGGTGCGCGGGTTAAGGTCCTAGGTCATTGGTTGACCTTCCAGGTCGGGTCAATGACCCCAAAGTCGGGAAAATCGGGACCTGTTAGAAAGCCGTTAAGTGTGGCTCCTATGGCGTTTGTCGGGGTGCTGAAAACGAATATCGTGTTAGTTTTGAGCACAGATGATGTCTTTAAGCATTTCGACCAGGTCGGGTCAGGTCAGGTCAGATCAACCAGTGGGGGTCGTGACAGGTATTCGTAGTACGTGTCAACCGCCTCTGACAGCTTCGTAACATGTTACGAAGGTACCATAACTACTTCGTAAATGTTCAAATGGTTTCTAAATTCGAATTCAGCTCCAAAAACTAGCCTAGAAACATGTAAAACTCGAAAAAGTGAACCGAGGTCAGCAAAGGTCAATGACCTGACCTTCAGGTGACCTTGACATCTACTATACTATTTATGAAATGAAACTCTGTCTGTCTGTGTGTTTGCACCGTGCAGAGGGGTGCTTTGACGCTGTGCGCAGGCCAAACGGTGCGGTCGAGAGGGCTGAAATTTTCGCAGGTTGTTGATGACGTCACGCGCACGTGCAGTGTCGAGGTTCGAGTCCCGGGGGGTGGATGGCTTGCACGTGGCACGCCCTGGAAAAGTGCGTATTTCCTCACAAAGTTGCTCGGTCTTCAAGGCATCGGCAGCCTGGTTTGATGGACTTTGAGTTGTAATGTGACGATTATTTCATAAATATGCAAGATATTACAACAAAAATTACCCGACGTTTCGTTTATTATAACTTTTTCAAGGGTAATGAAAAGACACACATTTATCTACGAGAACATGGGATGTGTAACAGCGCGGGCAATTCTTCGTAGTAACACTTCCTGTCTGCAAACAGGTCACAAAGAAACAATTCACAAATCATAATCTCTCCTGACTAAAGATGCGGCCACAGAAGCAAGCCTAAAAAATCCATTTGAAATATTCAAAGTTTGACCAGTGTAGCGATAAATGCCGCCTCTACAACTTTTCGCTGAACTTTGGAAAAATTCCTGTCGACACTTGTAGCCCCTGTCCAGTTAGGCAGATGCCCTTCTTCCTCAGCGTGAACAACAAAGGCGTTCGAAACTCTATGATTGCGCATGTCTCCCTTGTGCTCGCGAACCCTCGTTTTTAGACCCCTTCCCGTTTCCCCGTAGTACACGCGTGGGCATCCACCGCAAGGAATTTTATATACTACGCTCTCTCTGTTTGACTCTCTTTTGTTTACTTACTAGGTTAGGTTAGGTTAGGTTAGGTTTGACTCTCTTTTGCTGTTACACATCCCATGTTCTCGTAGATAAATGTGTGTCTTTTCATTACCCTTGAAAAAGTTATAATAAACGAAACGTCGGGTAATTTTTGTTGTAATATCTTGCATATTTGATGGACTTTGCAACTAAAATGCATGGCAAGCGGCGGCGGGTGCCTCTCATTTGCGGATTGACAGCTTATTTATTTTGATAAACAGATGCGAATGAAGTAATTGATTTTCGGTAAATAAGGACAGTTTTCAATGCGCTTAACCCGCGCCCTGCTGGGTTTTTCGCGAATATCTCAAAAACGGCGGCGCGGAGCGCCGCCGTTTTTGGTACACCTTATCATACATCAATTCTACACATGTTGTTAAAATTTCAGACCAAGGTCATTCAAGGTCAGGTCACCAGGTCACTTGAAGTGACCTCACCTCATAAAAAGTTTCAATGTCTCTCATAGCTACACCGAGTGACCGATCGCTTTGAAACTTTCAGCGATTGCTAAGAGCAATAGCTTGTACAAAATGTATATCTCAGAATTTTGATATCGATGACCTATGGTCAGGTCAATTTTGCGACCTCCCCATTATAAGTCAATGGGAGAAAATTGAAATGCGCCTCTTTTGGACGAAATACATTATAAACACTCCCAAACACTGAATTACAAGTGGTTTAGACACACTGAGCATGAAAATGGTGTCCGTGACCCCTGTTTATGCCCTGAGGTCATCTTAGGTCACGAATGGTATCTAACAGTTTTTCGCAAATAACTTTTGATAGAGGCATTCTAGAGCGATGAAAACGCCTTAGATGTGTTCAGCTAGACGATACGGATCGACTGATATGCAACATGACCCTTTCCGGTCAGGTCATGACCTTGACCTGAGGTCAAATTTTCAAGTTGACCTTTCAAGGTCAAGTTATAGTTCATTCGACGCGTCTTGACGAGAGGAACACGATGCCGGTAAAAGTAAGCTCGTACAAGGCTTGGGTCAAAAGTTATTGCAGAAAAACTGTTTCCGAAAAAATCGGCTATTTTTGCAGTTTTTACCCCCTGCAGGCAAAACCGTTGACGTTAGGTCAAATCTGAGAACATTACTCAGAAAGGGCGTTAATAGGGCTATCGAATGCGCTTTTCCGCGGCGCTGTAGCTCTATTGGGTCCCGAGTTATGCGTTGGCTTCTTGGAAATTGTCGACATTCGACCTGGAAATCGGCGAAATTTTGCCTTCAATGACCTCTGGTGACCTGACCTTTGACCTGACCAAAAAATTGACCGAAGTGATTTCGTCATTATTTTTGACGCTCTTTCGAACGCCGCCTTCCGCGTATCGCTACGTGGCCCAGGAGCCGAGTTAGAAGGGGGGGGGGGTGTTCAAACACCCCCCCCCCCCCAGCAGGGCGTGGAAATCCAGGACCCCCAGCAGGGCGCGGGTTAACCGAATGCACCACGTTTGCCGTAGTGCTCCACATTTGTCACGAGGTGCCATTTTTGCCGCAAATCGCACAACTTTGTCAAATATGGTCCGATAAAGGTGTAATTCGGTAGAAGGATAAATGACAAAACGACAAGTACAGATGCAACACTTTTGTCGCAATGCGCCACATTTGTCACAAGTCGTCATTTCCACCACGTACGGTGGAGTGACACGTGTAGGAGCAGGGTTAGTGTTGAGATTCGCCTCCCACCGCCGTGCTCCAACACCAACAGGTCACCGGTGCTGATGTATTCGTCTCACACGCTCTGCACCGCGCCGCTCCGTCGTCGGTCAGGGCCCACGCCTGACTGTCCGCCCGGCCGCCCGCTCCGCTGACCCGGGCTGGGTCGCTCGCCGGCCCGCCGCCAGGCGGCAGCACCGGACGGGGGCGGCGGCGGCGCGGCGGCCGGTCACCACGCGGATACATATTTATGCGAAATCCCGACACTCCTCCCCCCTTATCAGGAGAGCGGCGCGGATTATGAAATAGAACGATAACAAACAAAATAACATTTACCAGCTAACACAAATGCACTTGCTTCTCGGGCAGTGCGCGATCGGCACCACCACGTCGCGCAACGTCACCAACGATGTCCCGATCACCGTCTCGCGCGCGGTCCCCGATTCGCTCCTCGTCCTCGTCCTCGATCCTCTGGGCATCTTCAGGCTTCAGCCAGCTGCAGCCACGCCGGCCAGCCCGCCTTCGCCGCGACTCGTGCGTACCCCGCCGGCGACAGGTGCACGCCATCGTCGTCGTAATGGAGCAGCGCGGCACGGGACAGCACATACGCCGACACCTTACGCCCCTGGCGCCGCCGCTCCAACACGCATCGTCCTACGGACACGTGCTTGATGCGCATGTCGCTCTCGAGCGGCTCCCCCAGCCACCGGGTGACTGGTCGGTCGAGATGTTTGAAAGCCGCCGTCGCTTCCCACTGGGCCTCCCCTCGCCGACCAGCGCGGCGCGGGGAGGGCTTCCCTCGGCCCCCCTCCGGGCCCACAGCAGGGGAGCATCGCGTCTGGGCCTCGGCGTCGGCCCGAGCAGGATCACCGGCGCGATGTCCCTGGCCAAGCTCGTGACGGTGGTCTTGAGCTGTCGCCATACGGCTCCATCGAGACGGTCGGGAGTGGCCCCCAACGGGTATACGTCATTGCCCCCGAGCCATACTGCCACTTCTGATGGCTGGAGGCCTCTTCGGCGTGCCGCTCTGCTCCACTCTTCCACTTTGCGCGCCAGGGCACCGGAGCGGACACAGCCGGCCCAGGTCTTGCCGACATGTGCAGAGGGCACCCACACGGTGACCTCCCACTCGCCCACTCGCGGAAGAAAGCCGGCTCGTCGGGCGAACGAGTCCCCCACGAGCAGCCCCGCCCGGAGGGGCGGACCCACGCCGCTCCCCCCGGTCCCGAAGGAGCGCATGGCGTCTCGCACCAGTGCAGGGCTTCGCAGGAGAGCGCAGCACCCGCCTCCAAGAGCCTGCTGAGGGGGTGGTAGGCGGACGTTGCCCTCCACGGTCACGGTCACGGACGCGCCCTCGCCGCCTCCGTCCACGGTCCGGGAAGGCGGACTCACGCCGCTACTCCCGACCACGGTCACGGTCATAGGCGCACTCCCGCCGCCTCCGTCCACGGTCCGGGAGGGCGGGCTCACGCCGCTACTCCCGACCACGGAAACGGTCATAGGCGCGCTCCCGCCGCCTCCGTCCACGGTCCGGGAGGGCGGGCTCACGCCGCTACTCCCGACCACGGAAACGGTCATAGGCGCGCTCCCGCCGCCTCCGTCCACGGTCCGGGAGGGCGGGCTCACGCCGCTACTCCCGACCACGGAAACGGTCATAGGCGCGCTCCCGCCGCCTCCGTCCACGGTCCGGGAGGGCGGGCTCACGCCGCTACTCCCGACCACGGAAACGGTCATAGGCGCGCTCCCGCCGCCTCCGTCCACGGTCCGGGAGGGCGGGCTCACGCCGCTACTCCCGACCACGGAAACGGTCATAGGCGCACTCCCGCCGCCTCCGTCCACGGTCCGGGAGGGCGGGCTCACGCCGCTTCTCCCGACCACGGACACGGTCGTAGGCGCGCTCCCGCCGCCTCCGTCCACGGTCCGGGAGGGCGGGCTCACGCCGCTACTCCCGACCACGGAAACGGTCATAGGCGCACTCCCGCCGCCTCCGTCCACGGTCCGGGAGGGCGGGCTCACGCCGCTACTCCCGACCACGGAAACGGTCATAGGCGCACTCCCGCCGCCTCCGTCCACGGTCCGGGAGGGCGGGCTCACGCCGCTTCTCCCGACCACGGAAACGGTCATAGGCGCACTCCCGCCGCCTCCGTCCACGGTCCGGGAGGGCGGGCTCACGCCGCTACTCCCGACCACGGAAACGGTCATAGGCGCGCTCCCGCCGCCTCCGTCCACGGTCCGGGAGGGCGGGCTCACGCCGCTACTCCCGACCACGGAAACGGTCATAGGCGCGCTCCCGCCGCCTCCGTCCACGGTCCGGGAGGGCGGGCTCACGCCGCTACTCCCGACCACGGAAACGGTCATAGGCGCGCTCCCGCCGCCTCCGTCCACGGTCCGGGAGGGCGGGCTCACGCCGCTACTCCCGACCACGGAAACGGTCATAGGCGCGCTCCCGCCGCCTCCGTCCACGGTCCGGGAGGGCGGGCTCACGCCGCTACTCCCGACCACGGAAACGGTCATAGGCGCGCTCCCGCCGCCTCCGTCCACGGTCCGGGAGGGCGGGCTCACGCCGCTTCTCCCGACCACGGACACGGTCGTAGGCGCGCTCCCGCCGCCTCCGTCCACGGTCCGGGAGGGCGGGCTCACGCCGCTACTCCCGACCACGGAAACGGTCATAGGCGCGCTCCCGCCGCCTCCGTCCACGGTCCGGGAGGGCGGGCTCACGCCGCTACTCCCGACCACGGAAACGGTCATAGGCGCACTCCCGCCGCCTCCGTCCACGGTCCGGGAGGGCGGGCTCACGCCGCTTCTCCCGACCACGGACACGGTCGTAGGCGCGCTCCCGCCGCCTCCGTCCACGGTCCGGGAGGGCGGGCTCACGCCGCTACTCCCGACCACGGAAACGGTCATAGGCGCACTCCCGCCGCCTCCGTCCACGGTCCGGGAGGGCGGGCTCACGCCGCTACTCCCGACCACGGAAACGGTCATAGGCGCACTCCCGCCGCCTCCGTCCACGGTCCGGGAGGGCGGGCTCACGCCGCTACTCCCGACCACGGAAACGGTCATAGGCGCACTCCCGCCGCCTCCGTCCACGGTCCGGGAGGGCGGGCTCACGCAGCTACTCCCGACCACGGAAACGGTCATAGGCGCGCTCCCGCCGCCTCCGTCCACGGTCCGGGAGGGCGGGCTCACGCCGCTACTCCCGACCACGGAAACGGTCATAGGCGCACTCCCGCCGCCTCCGTCCACGGTCCGGGAGGGCGGGCTCACGCCGCTTCTCCCGACCACGGACACGGTCGTAGGCGCGCTCCCGCCGCCTCCGTCCACGGTCCGGGAGGGCGGGCTCACGCCGCTACTCCCGACCACGGAAACGGTCATAGGCGCGCTCCCGCCGCCTCCGTCCACGGTCCGGGAGGGCGGGCTCACGCCGCTACTCCCGACCACGGAAACGGTCATAGGCGCACTCCCGCCGCCTCCGTCCACGGTCCGGGAGGGCGGGCTCACGCCGCTTCTCCCGACCACGGACACGGTCTTAGGCGCGCTCCCGCCGCCTCCGTCCACGGTCCGGGAGGGCGGGCTCACGCCGCTACTCCCGACCACGGAAACGGTCATAGGCGCGCTCCCGCCGCCTCCGTCCACGGTCCGGGAGGGCGGGCTCACGCCGCTACTCCCGACCACGGAAACGGTCATAGGCGCGCTCCCGCCGCCTCCGTCCACGGTCCGGGAGGGCGGGCTCACGCCGCTTCTCCCGACCACGGACACGGTCGTAGGCGCGCTCCCGCCGCCTCCGTCCACGGTCCGGGAGGGCGGGCTCACGCCGCTACTCCCGACCACGGAAACGGTCATAGGCGCACTCCCGCCGCCTCCGTCCACGGTCCGGGAGGGCGGGCTCACGCCGCTTCTCCCGACCACGGACACGGTCGTAGGCGCGCTCCCGCCGCCTCCGTCCACGGTCCGGGAGGGCGGGCTCACGCCGCTTCTCTCGGTCACCGCGTCCGACTCCGTCCTCGTGGGCATCCACTCGTAGAGAACGGCTGCATTTTCAGCCATCCCTGCCGCTCCCGCGGTCCCGTTCACGTCATCTTCCTCCGCGATATCGAACTCGAACAAGAGGTCCTGCCGTTCGTCGAATGTCAGGAGGTCCGCTAGCAGGTCCTCTTCATCCATCGCGTCCCTGAGAGAGCAAATAAACCGCGTCATGCTACGCGGACACCTGATACGGCACAACGGGTCGGGACACTCGACCAGACCGTGTGATGTAGGGGGCCGGGGGACCGTATACTGGGGGGCTCTCGTCATCCTACCCCACCCGTCCCACAGGAGGCGCGGGCGTACTGTGTCCAGAGGATGACTGATGCAGGAGCAGGAGCATCTGAGGCCTCCTCTCATCGTCTGTGGTTATCGCGGGCACGGACCCATCACCGCCTCCCTCCCCCGGGGGCCTTTTCCCCGTAGACCTCGGGATTCCCCGGGTTCCCTGGACACGTTCCTTACTGCATTTGGAGGGCTTCAGGTGGTTATGATGGAGAACACGTACCTTGCCGTCCTTGTTGGCCACCTTATAGGCGACCTCCTTCCCGGGGGCCCCGACCTTACCAATGATGGTAGAGGGACCGGTGAATGGTAAGCCCAGCTTGGGTTTACCGCCAGCTGCGGCCCTGAAGTCTCGGACCCAGACCTTGTCCCCGATCCGATACTCTTCGGCACACTGCTTCGCGTCATACCTCTCAGCGGCTTCCTTGGCGGCTCGAGCCGAGTTGCTTCGTACTTGATTGTACGCGGCACGCATGGAGCGGAGTCGGTCCTCGAGGTAGCTGTGCACCGGCACGGATTCGACGGCAGGTCCGTACTCGACATCCAGCGGCATCCGCGGTTCGTACCCATGCACCAGGTAGAAGGGTGTGTACCCAGTTGCACTGTGGATTGATGAATTGTAGGCCATTGAGTACGCCTTGATGTCGACGTCCCAATGCAGCCCCTCAGCATCGACGTATTTGCTGATCATGTCCTTCAGCGTCCGGTTAAACCTTTCTACCATGCCGTCGCTTTCGGGGTGGTACGGCGTAGTTCGGGTCTTGTGGATACCTAGTCTCTGGCACATGGCCTGGAACACTCGGGACTCAAACTGCCGCCCTTGGTCAGAATGAAGGCGATCTGGGACACCGAAGTCGTGGACCCAGTCCAGGAGACATTCCAGTATGGTTTCGGTCTTCTGATCAGCCATTGGGTAGATGCGGACGCATTTGGAAAAATAGTCCATGATGATCAGAGCGCAGTTATTTCCTTTTAAGGACGTTGGCATTTCGGTCACATCGACGGCGATCCTCTCGAAGGGCAAGGACGTCGTCTCCGTCACCATCGGGGCCCTTTTTGCGGGGGACGGCCGGTGCCTTCTCTGACAGGGGATGCAGTCATCGCAGAACGCGCGTATGTCCTGGTACATCCCCGGCCAGATGAAACGCCGTCTGACACGAAACGATGTCCTCCGCCGTCCCATGTGCCCACTGGTCGGATGGTCATGCGCCATTTTAAGAATCTCCTCCCGGAGATCTTTTGGGACAGCTGCTCGAAAGCCCTCACCCGTCGCCAGTCCGATGACTCCATCGCGCAGCTCGACGTCCCTCCAGCGGGGCAGTAGCACCTTCCCCCAGGCTCCCATCTTGCTCCGATCTGGTGTCTCCCCACTCTCCAGCCGGCTGCGGATCTGCTGCAAAGTGTAGTCCCGTTCCTGAGCTTGACGAATACTCTGAGCGTCGCCTCTGCCAGCCCCCAGAGGCACGTTGACCGCCGCTTGTATCCCCCCTTGGCTGGTGTGGTCCGGATCAGGGCACACGCCTGTATCCGTGCCACCAGGGAAAGGACAGCCCTTCAGGGCACCAGACGTCACCTGTGCCTGGGCTGTGTGGTCTGGATCAGGACACACGCCTGTATCCGTACCACCAGGGACAGGACTGCCCTTCAGGGCACGAGACATCACCTGGGTCTCTACTCCTCCGGCGCGATCTGGGTCAGGACACACGCCTGAAAACGTACCGCCGGAGCGAGGTTTATCCTCCAGGAAGCGGGACGCTGCTACGGACGCCTTAGCGCCAGATACGGAGGCGACAGCCACTTCAGAAGTCGGCACTTCCACTGCTCCGGACTCAGCTGGCCGCCTGGATAGAGCGTCAGCGTTGCGGTGTTCCACTCCAGCCTTGATCTCGACATCAAATTCAAACGAGCTTAGCTCGATGGCCCAACGGCCTCGCCGTCCCGTCCCGTCACGTTCCACCGCAATGGACTGAGGGATGTTGGCCAGAGGTTTGTGGTCGGTAACGACCAGGAACTTGGCGCCTGTGGTGTATTGACGGAAGCGTCTGATAGCGTGGACGACAGCCCACAACTCCTTGTCATAAGTGGGCCACTTCACCTGCTGCTTTGTGAGGACCTTGCTGTCGTAGGCTATGACACGCTCCTCGCCATCGATCCGTTCCGTCAGGACGGACCCCACGGTCGTGTTGCACGCGTCCGTATACAGCACAAACATGCCGCGGAAACGAGGCAGAGACAACACGGGGGGCGAAGCCAGGATGCTCTTGAGCTGAGCGAAAGCCTGGCGCATCTCGGCCGTCCACACCAGTTTCCCGGGTGACAGTGCAGCGTTCCTCAGTGGCCTGGCGATCTCGGCATAGCCATCGATGAAATGGGCATAGTAGCCACACAGCCCCAGGAAGCTATTCATCTTCGAGTCATCGGCAGGTTCTGGCCACGTGAGGACCTTGTCCACGTTCCTTTGATCTGGCTTCACTCCTGCCTCTGATACTGAGTACCCGAGAAAGGTGACTTCGTTTCTTGCCAAGTGGCATTTTTGGGGTTTGAGTTTGAGACCGGCCTCTCTGATACGTTCGAAAACGTCTTTCAGAGTCGCCAGGTGCTCGTGCTCGGTCTTGTTGAAGAGGATGATGTCGTCTAGGTAGACGAGGCATGTCCGGGTGTCTAGACCCGCCAGCACAAGCTCCATCAGGCGCTGGAAGGTGCCGCCGGCGTTTTTCAGCCCCATGGTCATTACTCGAAACTGGTGCAGTCCCCTCCCCGTCGTGAACGCGGTCTTTTCACGGTCTTCGGGAGCGATCTCTACCTGCCAGTATCCTGTGGCCATATCGAGGGTGGTGTACCATCGCGCCCCAGCCAATGAGTCCAATGCGTCGTCGATCCTAGGAAGTGGGTGTGCCAGACCCTTCGTCACGCTGTTAACAGCTCTCATATCCACGCAAAAACGGAAGGACCCGTCTTTCTTGCGTGTGAGAACTACGGGGGAGCACCATGGGCTGTTGCTGGGCTCTATAACTCCGTCTCGCAACATCTGCTCCTTTTGGAGTTCCACCTGTTCACGAATCGAGGCGGGGATCCTCCGAGGCGGCTGCCGGACCGGAGGGGCGTCTCCCGTGTCGATGTGATGCTTCGTGAGGTGGTGCATCCGATATCTCCGGAATTGCGGCTGAATATATCCTGATATTCCATCACCAAGTGCTTTAGTTCAGCTCTCCCCTCCGCGGACATCTCAGAGCTCTCCACATCGACGACAGGGGGAGCGGGCACACGCCGATCGCCCCCATCGTCGGGTGCATTGAGAACCTCTGCTGCGCACTGCGCCGGGGTGCAGCCTGTGGTGACGTTCCTGGCTCCAGGCCCAACACACGTCACGGCGTGACGTACGCTGGACTGTTTGTCGTCACACAAGTCGAACTCGTTGTCGGCTCCGGGAAGAATGGCGAAGAGCGTGCCGACATCACTACCCTTCAGTAATTTGATCTCCCCCAAGCCGGCGTTGGTCAGCCGAATGGGAACAGTGCCATCATGGTCAACTGTTACCACCTCCCTCGGGATCAGGAGGCCCTCCCTCTCCGCTGTGTGACTGGGCTCGAAAACTCCTGACAGAGATGACGGATTGCGCACCTTTCCGTCGAGAGGTTCCACCCGGGCCGCGACGATGAGGGCTGACCGGGCCGGGACAACAGTTGCAGCCGTGAGCAACGCCCTCGCGCGGGTCGGTCTGATCTCGCCGTATGTTGGCAGAGGAATGGACATTCCCGCGAGCCTGAGGACCCCCTGCTGGTCGTCGATGATGGTGCCATACCGGCAGCAAAAATCACGGCCCAGGACGACGTCATACACCAGACCGCTGACCACCGCGACACTCGCGCATGTAAATGACTGGTCGCGAATTCTAATTGGAATCTCACTCAGGACGCCTGCGATATGAAGAGGCTCGCCGCCAGCGCCTCTCGCCGGACGGGAAGGCCGCGTCATTTGGTAGCCGAGATCCCGCTGTATATCTATTTGAAGGCCGTCACGGATCATGGTGAAGTCGGCCCCAGAGTCCACCAGGGCCCACACTTCCTTATCTCCTACTTGCGCTTTTACCACCGAAGCGGTAAGTCGGGACCCTGATGGATACGGGGCCGGCGCCTGTCCCTCAGCACCGGCCGACATCAGTTTCCCTGCATGCCAGAGGGCGGCACCGAGGAGGTACCACGGGGTGCGGCGGGGTACATCTGCTGAACAGGAGCACCAGGGAGCAGGCGGCAGTCCACCAACCAGTGGCCACTCCTTCCACAGCCCAGGCAAAACGGCCGCTCTCCATGAGGGTTGGGCCGCTCGACCGAGTGGGGACACTCGCGTGCATAGTGGGTCCCCTGCTCGCCGCACGTCCAGCATCGACCCCGCCGGCTCCCAGACCCCCCGCCAGTACTCCGGCGCGTCCCAGGCATTCTCTGAGTTGATCTCAGGTGCTCTGAGCCAGCCCGTTCACCCATGGCCGCGCCGTCCCGCTGCCGGTCGGCAGTCTGAAGCTCTTTGAGCGCCTGTTGGACAGCATCGAGGCGACGCTCGAGCGCATGCAGCGGGGCCGACCCCTCCCCACCATTCGATGGACGGGTGACCGGCAGCGCTTCGAAGGTCATCTGAGGATCGGCATCCCAGAGGCGCGCCGGGTCCCGATCGAGCCCGCCCGCCCCAGCGCGCGTTTGGGTAACATCGCCGGGGGGC